CGGACCTGATAAAACGCCCCCCTGGTCACGGCCGCCAACTGATCATCCAGTGTCAGCCGTGAATCCAGGAGGACACCCAGATTGCGCACCCTATCCGAGGGGGCCAAAGTTTCGCCCCCTATAGTCAGCGATGGAATCAGCTGACTATGCCGAGGCGCCGGTAGCCACAGCCACTCGGTCTTGGAAGGGTTGAGCCTGACCTCCAAGGTCCCTTCCAACTCTGTTATTCTGTTCTATTGTTCTATAGATGTTGAAGCTTGCAGAAAGAAACCATAAGAGAGTTACAGAACTATTACTATCCCTCTAGCTTTAAATGATCTCATTTTAATGATGGGTTGATGAGGAAAATGAGAAAAATATCCTTACTGTTTTCATTACTCTGACGGCTACTACATCTAGGAAAGAGACGGCTCCAAAGTCAAAAATGAGGCTGTGGAGGGGCACTTGCGGAACATTCACTTTGACGGGAAGTTCTGAGTTCCAATCCACCTGGATCTCCATTTCTTTGGTTGGAATGTCCGGATCGACCGGATCTTCTGGATCATCATCAGATTCAAAACCCTCATTCACGGTTCCCAAATCGCTGATAATGCCATTCTAGTAAGAAGAGACAGATAGCGTGTTCAACACGTTCCTTAATTTAAAAAGCCCCTAAATACAGAATTTTTTTTTCTTCACAACAAAATATTTCTAATCAACTCATGGCAGAGCTAACATTTCTTATTTTCTTTACATAAGTCACGATAATGCATGCTCTCTACACAAAACTTCCTGGGAACAGAAGTGATGCCCAGTTCTTTAAAAACCCAAAGCCAGTTTACTCTAGAGGTTAAGGCACCGGGCTACAAAGAGGGAGATGGTGAGCTCTAGTTTGTCTTAGACGCAAAAACCGGTTAGGTGACTTTGGGCCAATCACCGGTACACTGGGAGTTCTAGTGCCATCTTAGGCATGAAAGCCAACTGAGTGAAGTTGGGCCAGTCACCGGTACACTGGGAGTTCTAGTGCCATCTTAGGCATGAAAGCCAACTGAGTGAAGTTGGGCCAGTCACCGGTACACTGGGAGTTCTAGTGCCATCTTAGGCATGAAAGCCAACTGAGTGAAGTTGGGCCAGTCACCAGGACACTGGGAGTTCTAGTGCCATCTTAGGCACGAAAGCCGACTGGGTGAAGTTGGGCCAATCACCAGGAAACTGGGAGTTCTAGTGCCATCTTAGGCATGAAAGCCAACTGAGTGAAATTGGGCCAATCACCAGGATACTGGGAGTTCTAGTGCCATCTTAGGCGTGAAAGCCGACTGGGTGAAGTTGGGCCAGTCACCAGGACACTGGGAGTTCTAGTGCCATCTTAGGTACGAAAGCCGGCTGAGTGAAGTTGGGCCAATCACCAGGAAGCTGGGAGTTCTAGTGCCATCTTAGGCATGAAAGCCGACTAGGTGACTTTGGGCCAATCACCGGTACACTAGTCTAGTGCCATTTTAGGAATGAAAGCCGGCTGGGTGATTTTGGGCCAATCACTGGTACACTGGGAGTTCTAGTGCCATCTTAGGTATGAAAGCCAACTGAATGAAGTTGGGCCAATCACTAGGACATTGGGAGTTCTAGTGCCATCTTAGGCATAAAGCCGGCTGGCTGACTTTGGGCCAGTCACTCTCTCTCACCTTACCTTATCTCACAAGGCTGTCGTTGTGAGGAAAGTAGGAGGGGGGTAAGTGTGCTGGATACGTTTGCCACGTCGAGTGATTTGTAAAAATAATAAAGGCGGGATGCAAATGAATAAATAAATGTTCTGTGTTTAGGAACATACAAATGCCTGCATAAATAAACGACACAGAACATATCCTGGACTCTTATCTTTGCCTCTGGCCCTACTGCAAACACAGATCCTGCCCCTTTAAATAAAAAGGAAATAGCTTTGTTTTGGAAAAACAGAAAATCAAGTTCTGCACCCGTAGAAATTTATGGAGATATGCATAATTTAAAGTAAAACATGGCCTTCTCAGGAAAGCAATGGGTTGCCATTTATTTCAAAGTTCATTATGCCCCCTGCACAAGAAAATAAGTCTTTTTTTTTTTTTTTTGCAAATCTCTGAGTTCTACTAATTTCTCTGCACCCAGATTTAATTGTCGAAAGAGGTCATCTGATCAGTGTCCTTCTTCTTCCAGCTGAAAATTCTTAACTCAACAACTCTTCCGCCCACAATAGTGTGGGACATTATCACCCACACAAACTTTCAAGTTACAGTCCAGGTTTTTTCCTTTGGTCCCAAGTTAATTTTCTACTGATTATTGTCTTATCTTGAATTTTCTTCTCTGTAGTCAACCTTCTTGCCTAACCTGGATGTTCTGGCTCTGATGCATTTTTCTCTTCAAATTCTTTCCAAGAATTTTGTATCTCCTTGCTTCCATAATTTAACCTCTCAATTTTCTTCCAAAGATGTATGATTCGGAGATGCAAGAAAGAGTTAAAGATTTAAGTGGGAGACTAGTATAGCTATTTCGGACTCATTAGTCCTCATCAGCTAGCCACACCCTTTAAGGGATTTGAAGCTGGGCAGTCTACATGCTAGGCAGTTGTATTAACCACCAGGCCTCCAGGTTAATACAACTGCCTAGCATGTAGACTGCCCAGGTTCGAATCCCATAAAGGGTGTGGCTAGTTGATAAGGACTAATGAGTCTGAAATAGCTATACTAGTCTCACATTTAAATCTTTAACTCTTTGTCAGCAAAAAGAAATCTGAATTTGTAATGTATCGCAGTTGTGACTTGAGCCTGCTATATATATTAGGGCAGTGATGGCGAACCTTTTAGAGACCGAGTGCCCAAACTGCAACCCAAAACCCACTTATGCATCGTCGAATGCTGGGTGGGTGTGGCCCATTGGGTGGGCATGGCCCATTGGGTGGGCGTGGCCCATTGGGTGGGCGTGGCTACGGTGGTAACGGCAGACTGGGTGGGACTTAAAAAGTTCAATCAATCAATTCCAAATTTGCAAGATCTTTTTTTTTCCCCGCAAGAAGTTGAAATTGACTGATTGAACCTTTTTTTTTTTTAGGCGGAGGCCTAAAGCGAAAAAGTTTTATAAAACCCAGCTGAAGGCCTAGGACTGAGGCGACGGCACGCGTGCCCACAGAGAGGGCTCTGAGTGCCGCCTCTGGCACCCGTGCCATAGGTTCGCCACCACTGTATTAGGGAATGTTCCAGTTTTTTAATGAAGGAATCAGTGTCCCTCAAATATCTTTGCTCTCTATAGTGTACTGGCAGTCCTCGACTTACGACTAAAATTGAGCCCGTTTCCGTTGCTAAGCGAGACACTTCCTGAGTTTTGCCCCAATTTTACGACTCTTGTTGCCGCAGTTGTTAAGTTAGAAACTTGGTTGTTAAATGAATCTGGCTTCCCCATTGACGTTTCTTGTCAGCAAGTGATCACATGATCTTGGGACACCGCAGCCGTCATAAATATGAGTCAATTGCCAAGCGCCCAAATTTTGATCACATGACCACGGGGAGGCTGCAACGGTCATAAGTGCGAAAAGTGATCCTTAGTCACTTTTTTCAGTGCCATTGTAAAACTTTGAACGGTCACTAAATGGACCGTGGTAAGTTGAGGACTACGCGTACTCCTTCATTTTTGCTACGCTAGATTATTTTGTCTGACTTTCGTTTCCTTTCCCCCTTCTTTTTTTATTGAATGTGTTTTTTTTTATTTACTTCTTTATCAAATTTAGATACCGCCCATTTCATTCCAAGAGTGAGTTTGGGTGGTGTACAGTAAAAATACAACTTTAGGTTGTTTTGAACACTGTATTTTGTAAATCCTTCACCTGGGCACGTGAAATTAAACATTAAACAGATGTGCGAAAGGAAAAGTTAAGAGTGTGGATTAAGAGCTTTGGGAATTGACGAGAATTTTGAGACTCGCTTGCTAATTAGATGTTTGTGCCTACAAGTAATTAAAAGTGAAAAAGGAAAACAGGTCACTTGTACAGCAAACGAAAAATAATTTCAAATCGATTGCCCAACATAAAAGCTCTTTTTAAAACAACTGAGTGAAGAACAAAGATTGGCACTTTACTTTTGTGGCTTTTAATTTTCCTTTCTTGATTAGCTTCTGTATTTTCCTCAGCGCCTTCAGCCTTTTGTTGTACACCCGGACAGCGTCAAACCCCACCTTCAAAGAACAAATTTAATAATTTTTGTTTTAGTCACGTTTACATAGGGTAGGAAATGAAACACCTGGGCTGCAATCTATTAAAAAATAGTGGACCTCAGGTGTCTTTTATACATTTATATGCTGACTCTAATAATAATAATGATAAAGTTGGAAGGGACCTTGGAGGTCATCTAGTCCAACCCCCTGCTCAGGCAGGAAACCCTATACCATTTCAGACAAATGGCTGTCCAGTCTCTTCTTAAAAACTTCCAGTGTTGGCGCATTCACCGCTTCTGGAGGCAGGTTGTTCCACTGGTTAACTCTCATCCAGCCCAGAAAACATGCATTCTCCAGCAGTTTCTTGGCCAGTAATCAGCCATATCCAGGTCTGTCTCCTCCTCCTCCTCCTCCTCCTCCTCCTCCTCCTCCTCCTCCTCCTCCTCCTCCACTACACTGCAACCTCCCTCCCTTGTAGCACTGATACAAAGGTACAATTTAGGGGACACCTGGCTCAAAAACAGTAACTGTGAGAGGGACCTTGGAGTCCTAGTGGACGATCACTTAAAAATGAGCCAGCCGTGTGCGGCGGCAGCCAAAAAAGCTAATACAATCCTGGGTTGCATAAAAAGAGGCATAGAATCAAAATCACGTGAAGTATTAGTACCACTTTATAAAGCCTTAGTAAGGCCACATCTGGAATACAACATCCAGTTTTGGTCATCGCTTTATAAAAAAAGATGTTGAGACTTTGCAAAGCAGAGCAACTAAGATTATTAAAGGCCTGGAGACTAAAACATACGAAGAACGGCTGCAGGATTTGGATTTGGCTAATCTAGAGAAAAGAAGGACTAGGGGGGACATGATAGCAATGTTCCAGCATTTGAGGGGCTGCCACAAAGAGGAGGAGGTCAAATTATTCTCCAAAGCACCAGAAGACAAGACAAGAAAGAATGGATGGAAACTAATCAAGGAGAGAAGCAACCTGGAATTAAGGAGAAACTTCCTAACAGGGAGGACAATTAACCAGTGGAGCAGCTTGCCTCCAGAAATTGTGGGTGCTTCATCAGTGGGGGTTTTTAAGAAGAGACTGGACAGTCATTTGTCTGAAATGGTATAGGATCTCCTGCTTCAGCAAGGGGCTGGACTAGAAGACCTCATAGGTCCCTCCTAGCTCTATTCTGATTTATGATATTCATAGTTGGGCCGTGAAACGTCTGCACGAAAACTATCAAACGCAGAGAGCCTCAAGAACTCCACAGTTCCACCCAATATTCTCTTCTATTGGTATCATTTCAACAAACGTAATCCGTGCTACACCTCACACCTCACACTGTGCTGATATTTTGATAAACGTCAGTAGCAAACATTTGAAAACATGACTACTTACAGTAGATTTGACGCTGCTTCTTAGGCCATCGATATTAGCGTAAAAAATGGGACTTGAAAACTTGAGGATCTTCACTCCTTCGGGTTCAACCACCTGTTGCAAAAATAAGTATTGACTTCATTATAAATAAATCCTATTTGCTTTAGGCTCAGAAGAAAAAACCCCTAGTAAAACGGCTTGACTTAAGAAGTTGTGGGTGCGCCATCATTGGAGGCTTGTCTGAAATGGTACGGGGTCTCCTGCCCGAGCAGGGGGTTGGACTAGAAGACCTCCAAGGTCCCTTCCAACTCTGTTATACTGTTACTATTATTAACCTAAGCCAGGGGTAGGCAACCTTGGCTCTTATATGACTCATGGACTTCAACTCCCAGAATTCCTGGGCCAGCATGGGAGAACTATGGCCCCTTCATGACTTGTGGACTTCAACTCCCAGAATTCCTGAGCCAGCATGGCTCAGCTTGGAACCCTCTCCCTTTCCCCTCAGTGTGGCTGGCTCAAGAATTCTGGGAGTTGAAGTCCACAAGTCATAAAAGAGCCAAGGTTGCCTATCCCCCTAAGCCAGTGGTTCTCAACCTTTTTAATGCCGCGACCCCCAACCGGTCATAAGTCGAGGACTAAACCAGTCGTAAGTCGAGGACTAAACCGGTCGTAAGTCGAGGACTACCCAACCGGTCGTAAGTCGAGGACTTTCCCTGCCCAGGAGCGCCGCGCATGCATGGTTCCGCCCCCTGCGCCGGCCGAGGCGTAGCTGGCAAGCGGCAGAAACGGAGCAGGCTGACCACCAGCTGGCCCAGCCCAAGGGAGGTAAGGCACCTGCCGGAAAAGGGGGAAAAAATGGCGGACAAAAAAAATGGCGGACAGCCTTGCTTGGCGACCCCCGTGAAATGGTCGATCGACCCCAAATGGGGTCCCGACCCACAGGTTGAGAACCGCTGCCCTAAGCAGAGGGTGTGAGACTTAAACAATAAGGTAGACAGAACCAAATTTTCCCATCTCTTATGTAGATAAATTGTTCTTGGTCAGTTCCCAATTACTTCTATAATATTCTGTACACCCCACAAATAAGGGTCTTCTTCCTAACCTGTATACATCTCTCCCCACTATAGTGACAGCTGTCAATATGCCAATGTGCTATATGAAGATCGAATAACTATTTGCTCAAATATAGATGGGTCCCCTTCAAACAATCTTTTAGAGGGGCCACAGTGTGCTCTCATTGGCAATCAGAGATAATAAATCCACTTTTGCATCGGATGAACGCCGAAGGGTACACTATACTGGGTATTATCCGTAGCAAAACATCCAGATTCAGCCATAGTTTTCATTCCATACAGCATTAACCTTGTGAACTCTCAAGCTTCCTCCTTCCATTATATATTCAAGATGGACGGTATTTAATATTTATTTGTTATGTATATGTAGGGGTGTGGGTCTATACATATGTTGTACAGGGTATGTTTCGGTGTGCGTCATGTATGGGTTTCACTTTGAGAGCGAGCAACTAAATTTCATTTTTGATGTGTCCCGTTGTGCCCACAGTAAAAAAAAAAATGACAATAAAGGTTATCT